AAAAAAAATACGAGCTGGATGAATTGGCCCTTAAAATGGGACATGAAGTTGTACGGTTACCACCTTATCATTGTCAGTACAATCCAATCGAAATTATATGGGCACAAGTTAAGGGACAAGTTGCATCTAAAAATACAACATTTAAGATGGCTGATGTTGAAAAATTAATGCACGAAGCAATAGATTCGGTGAAAAAAGAAAATTGGGTAAATTGCGTTCGTCATGCTGAAAGAATACAGGACGAAGATTATCAAAAGGAAAAACATAGAGAAGTAATTTTAGAGCCCATTATTCTCACAATACGACCAGGTGACAGCAGTAGTGATGACGACGATGAAGAAGACGACATATAATTTATTTGTGTAATATGTATATACCTACTTTAATTTAAATTATTTTATATTTGTGTTTCTTAAAATTTTTTTGTATGATTAAATTGTGATTCTTTTTGGAAATTAAATGTTTAATATCGATATTTAAAATAGTTTATGCATCTTTTCCTAATTGTAACATCCATAAATGTGTTTAATATTATTGTAATGTATATGTTGTATAGTGGTATGAATTTAAAAAAACGCGGCAAACGGGTTTAATAATCACTTGTTGAAAACGGCCACGGGGATCGCTGATATCAACGTTCACTTTTCGTGAGCCGGACTATAGTTTATTATACATATCTGTGGTCCTATCCATTCTTATATTATCTATGGCAGGGATGGCAAATCCATGGCACGCGTGCCCGAGATGGCACGCGAAAAGATTTTGTGGGCACTCGAAAATTTTTACTATTATATAATATATAGTATTATAGTTTATAGAATATAGGTAATAGGTAAAAATATTTTGAGCATACGGCTTTTATCGGTCATTAACGATTATTCTTATCTGTAGATAAAATAATAATACCTATATTATTATTGAGAGTAATAAACCTACCTCAGTAAACACTAATCAGTACAAATACGTCTGTCAATTTGTAAGTGCGTCGTGCGTGTTTCGTGTTTCGTGCGCGATTATTATATTTTATTTAACATTATTTAATATGTTTGTACCAAAAAAAAGAAAAATTAGTGAATTAAATATTAGTAGTTGTAGTAGCAGAGAATTTCAAAATTCATGGACTGAAGATTATGGTATGGTTAAAAAAGGCGATAAAGCAGTATGTATTTTATGTTCAACCACAACAGTATGTAGAACATCATCTGTTAAACGACATTATGAAACTAATCATAATTTTCTTTTGAAAAAAACAAAAGAAGAACAAAAAGAGTATATTCTACAAGCAATTAAGAACAACAATTTGCAGACAAATACATTAATGAAGTTTGTAGGTAGCAATTCAAATATTGTTGCCGCAAGTTTTGCTGTATCAAATGTCATTGCAAAACGCGGAAAGCCCTTTTGCGATGGAGAATATATTAAAGATTTGATGCTGGAAACTGCATCATTTCTATTTGAAGATTTTTCTAATAAAGATAAAATTATGCAACGCATAAAGGATTTACCAATAACCAGAAATACTGTAAAAGATCGGATTTTAAAAATTGCAGAAAATATCACAAATCAACAAATTGCAGATTTTAAGTTGTGCAATGTATTTTCAATTTGTCTTGACGAGAGCACTGATATTACTGGTTCAGCTCGATTATCTATATTTATTAGATATTTTGTTGGTAGTGAAATTAAAGAAGAGTTGGTTAAATTAGTCTCATTGCAAGAAACAACAAAAGGAACTGATATTTGCAAAGCAATTGTAAATACTCTTTCTGAGGCAAATGTGGATTTTTCAAGAATTGTTTCTGTTACCACTGATGGCGCACCTAGCATGACTGGTAGAGAATCAGGGTTTATTAATTTATTTACTAAACACGTGGGACATCCCCTGCTAGGTTTTCACTGTATTATACACCAAGAGGCATTGTGTGCGAAAAATTCTTTTAAATCATTTGATGCTATAATAAAACTAGTAACTAAAATAGTGAATTTCATTACTGCGCGAGGCTTGAATAAAAGAAAATTTGAAAATCTATTAAAAGAAGTAAACTCGGTATACAGAGGTTTAGTTATGTTTAATAATGTTCGCTGGCTTAGTCGTGGCAATGTTCTCCAAAGGTTTATTGAATGCTGTGACGAAATTAAAATATTTTTGGATGAGCAAAATCAAATACATGAAGAATTATCTGACTTAGAGTGGATAGCCAGATTGATGTTCTTTGCAGATTTCACCCAGCATTTAAATGAATTGAATATTAAGCTACAAGGTGATAATAAAATAATCACTTGTATGTTTGATATGATACAAGCATTTCAGGTAAAATTAAAAATATTTAACTGTGACATGATAAACAAAAATTTCAAATATTTTCCTAACCTTAAAAAGTATATTTCGGAATTGGAAATTTTCAATAAACCTGATATTACTCATCTTATCCAAGAATTTTTAAATATTATTGGGACAGCTATGAATGAGTTCTCTGCACGCTTTACTCAGTTTAAAGAATTTGAAGAAACCATGAAAATTATTGTTTATCCAGACACATTGCCATTAGAAAAACTCAACTTAAAAGTGTTAGAATGGTTGAATTTAGATGATTTTGAAATGCAGCTTGTAGATTTTCAGTCGAGTACCATATGGAAAGAAAAATTCGTTATACTGAGAAATGAATTAGAAGAAATTCAGCGTGATAGGGCGATAGGCAAATCGGTCGTAAACATAGGGGACAAGATTTTGAAAGTGTGGAATGAAATTCCAAAAGATTATTCCACTTTAAAAATAGTAGCATTAGCTGTTTTGTCTATTTTTTCTTCAACTTATTCATGCGAGTCACTATTTTCAGAAATGAATTTTATAAAATCTGATTTAAGAAACCGACTAACTGATGAATGCAGTGCCGCATGTACTTTATTAAAAGTTACAAATTATAAACCAAATATCAATGAATTGGCATCAAGTGTTCAACAACAAAAATCACATCAAAAAAAATAATTAACAAAACAATATTATTATAATTATTATTATTATATACCTAAACTAACCTTTTTATACATTAATTATACAATGGAATTATAATATAACAAAATATAATTTTTTTCATGGCACGCTCTAAAAAAAAAAAGGTAATTTTGGGCACGCAGTGTTCAAAAGGTTTGCTATCCCTGATCTATGGAGATAACTTAAATCGTGTTTGTTGTCATTATCAATGATAAGAAATTGTAACCGAAAATTTTGTAATTTAGTATTTACCTATCCTAGCTACTACTTATTAGATTTTTTTTCTTGTTTTATAATTTTAATTTTTATTGCATAATAATAATGGATCCCTACGAAATTAACGAAATGTTGGATTCTGATTTTGATTATGACGATACGGATAAAGATCCAGATTATGAAGTGGATTCAGAATCAGATAATATCGAAGAAAATGGTAATGTTATTTAAATAAATATAATACCATTATGTCATCTATGAAAAATATTTATTGATCAAGAATTAAATAATATATTACAGATGATGCATTGTCAGGGGTACATTTACTGGATAAAGATGTAAATATGAATGAAATTGACACACTTTCTGGTATGTATTTATGTTTTAATAATTTCATCACATAATATGTTACAGAAAATTACATTGATTTCTATTTATTTTAGATATTTCTCATATTAGTGGTTCCGATATGTCAGTTGAATCTCCATCAAATGTTCAAGTTCCTGCACTGACTACATCTAATCAGCAAATTAATCACCAGTGGAAAGCTGATGATGGAAATATTAATGCTTATACGTTCAACCCAAATAACGAACAAATTGGTTAAAATCCAGATTTAATTGAAACATTACAAAATGGAACTCCATTAGATTTTTTTCAGTGTATTGTTAGTAACGATATAATTCATAAAATTGTTACTGAAACTAACAGGTATGCTGGCCAACAGTTGAGGTCTAAAACAATATCTCCACACGCACGTATAAATAAATGGTATGATACTAACGAATTAGAAATGAAACAGTTTTTTGGTATTCTGATTTGGACAGGATTAGTATCTTTACCATCATACCACCTATATTGGAGTACATCTAATATTTTTCAAACCCAATTTGGTATCATGAGCCGTAATAGGTTTGAATCTCTGATGAAAATGTTACATTTTTCGGATAATACTTGCGCTGACACTTCAAATAGATTATACAAGTTAGGAACACTTATCGATGATATAATGATGAATTCCAATTTATGTATGCAACCAAAACAAAATTTATGTATCGACGAATCCATAGTAAAATTTATGAGTAGACTTGCCTTCAAGCAATATATTCAAAATAAAAGGGACAGATTCGGAATTAAGGAATTCAAATTATGTATATCATTTTGTTACACAATAGCTATGCGAGTATACTGCGGTAAAGAAGTTGATAATATGTTGAATGTGGGAAATGTTGGTAGTAGTGTTGTCATGGAATTAGCTGAACCCTACCTTGACAATGGTAGGACAGTCTATGTGGATAATTGGTATTCCAGTGTGGAACTGGCCGAGTTACTTCAAGCGAGAAATACATATTTAGTTGGGACGCTGTGACAAAATAGAAAATCTAACCCCAAAGATGTTACCAAAAAAAAATTAAAAAAGGGGGAAATTGTATCCCTAAGAAGTTCGACAAATGTTTTAATACTTAAGTGGCATGACAAGCGTGATTTACTCATGATTTCAACTAAGCATGATAGTACTACTACAGATCTACAAATAAGAGGAAAAACAGTTAAAAAACCTAAAGTAGTTGTAGATTACAATATTGGTAAAAGTTCTATTGTTCTTTCTGATCAGATGAGCTCTTATTCTAACCCTCTTCGCCGTAGCCAGAAATGGTATAGAAAAGTTACATTAGACGCACTGTTAAATATAAGTGTTGTAAATGCTCTTGTCTTATTCCAAGCAGTTACCTCATCAAAATTATCTATAACAGACTTTAGAGCCCAACTTGTTGAACAGTTAATCAAAAAAGAGTCTATTCCAGAAAATATACCAGAAACACATAAATTAGTAAAATCAAATAGAAGTAAATGCAGCAAGTGTTATGCAAAAATGGTTATAGCTAAAGGCAGAACATTTGCACAAAAACATGTAAATAAAACATTTACAAAGTGTTTTTTATGTGACAAGTATTTTTGTATGAATTGTTTTTTTGAGGAACATAAATTTGTAAAAAAGTAATGATTCCTTTAATTCCAACTTATTATTATTATTTAAATATTGGAAAAGAAAAAGGTACTGTTTATTTTGATTTAATTATTAGTCTAATAATATAAAGGAAGGTATTGTTTTGTTTTTAATATTATTATAATATGAATTATAAAAAAAAATATAGGTCTTATGTATTTTTGTATTACTAGTTTAAATAACTCAAGACTGGACCAAAGAGGTTATTTTAATTTTGTTATTATTATTTGAATGTTATACTTAAAAGGAATTATTATTATGTTTTTTTGTATTACTAGTCTAAATAACTCAAGACTGGACCAAAGAGGTTATTTTAATTTTGTTATTATTTGAATGTTATACCTAAAAGGAATTATTATTATGTTTTTTTGTATTACTAGTCTAAATAACTCAAGACTGGACCAAAGAGGTTATTTTAATTTTGTTATTATTATTTGAATGTTATACTTAAAAGAAATTATTATTATGTTTTTTTGTATTACTAGTCTAAATAACTCAAGACTGGACCAAAGAGGTTATTTTAATTTTGTTATTATTATTTGAATGTTATACCTAAAAGGAATTATTATTATTTTTTTTTACAATAGAACTAAACTAAGATAATGTAATATTTTGTTTTAATTAATTTTTATATTTCAATAAAGTAAACTATATACAATGTTCTAAAATAACATGTTATTAAAGCTTTACTCTATATTTGACAATTTAAAAAGTGTTATGTGAACTAAGTACTTACAAGAATAAAATATTTTTGAGGGTCAAATATGGATCTCACAATATCAGAAAAACAATACATTTTTAATGGGTGACTGTGTGTGGCCATGAGACCCATTTCGGGGTCTCACCCCTAATCAACTAAAAAATATTATTAACACCATTTGTTAACAACTATAATGCTATGTACAAAATTTCAAGTCATTTGAACAATTTTTTTTTTCAAAATTAATTTTAGTGATTTATGACAAAAGTCACTTGGCGCTTTAGTCAAAGGTAAGTGAGACCCAAATATGAGTCTTCTGGCGCTCAACGTGTTAAGATAGTAGCATACAAATTCAACTTAACTATTAGCCAGCATGATTATACGTCAGTAAGATTCCTTATAAACCTTCTTTCTTATCTCCAGAAGGGAGTTAGCTGATATTTCTTTTATATATAAATTAATCAATAATCATATCGATGCCCCTTACCTATTAGAACACATTTCATTCAACATCCCAACATATAATAATCGAATCACTCCCTTTTTCGACTTACCATCACACAGCACAAATCACTTAAAAAACTCTTCTATTGTTACAGCTATGGCTCTCTGCAATAACCTTGCACTTAATGTTGATTTTTTCTTTACTCCGTTAGTTTCTATTATTAAAATATACTTGACTAATAATATGTAACAATTATATATATATTTTTTTCTTCCATTAAATTAATTTAAGTTTATATTCCACCCTATAATAATTTTTAAGAATCCACGTTATTATAGCTATTTCTATATTCATTTATTGTATTAACTTATATATATATATATATATTTACCTGCACTATTGGGCAACTTGCCTGTTTTAATAATTTGAATAAACAATTATAATTATTATTATTATTAACAATTAGTTAGTATTTAAGATTAATATACCATTATTATATCAAAATATTTTTTCTTTGTATCGAGTTTTACCTAAATCATATTGTAAATTGAACATCAGCATATATATAAAATCTAACTTTAATTTTTTAGCAATAAGTAGATCTGAGGAATTATAAACCACATATGATCGTTTTATCACTTTTATTGTAAACCTGCTCGAGATTTCCTAATCTGTCTTGAAATCTATCCACTGCATCCATGCAGTACACGACCGATATGTGAGGTAGTTTTTTTCCAAGATCCAAAGAAAACACCAGAGGATTATGAAGTTAGACAAATACAGCTAGCTACTAGCATTTTTCATAAATTAAAATATAAAAACAATTGGCTATACATAACAAAAGAGAAGACTATAGTCATAACATATGACACATACAAACAATTGAATAGTTTACAATAAAAAGATACAGGAGTACTTTTAGGTACTTGTTTGTTATCGCCCCGCCAGTACACCGTATAAAATTTATCGCCCCGCCACTCTTGTTTGTTATCGCCCCTCCAGTACATCGCATAAAAATTATCGCTATTGCTAATCGTTTGTGATCTATTTTAGAAAATGAGAAAACTACATTTTATCATTTTTATGATACAGAATATTAGTTTGTTGCTGGCATTCGTTTACCATTTCATTTACTTATTACCTACTACTGAGAAATTCGAAAAAATTAATTTAATACGTTAAAATGAATTTTACTGAATTACTTACAATTGGTTCAAATAGTGATACTGGAATTAGCTTTTTACAACAACATAATATAATTAAAGTTAGTGAAGTGTGTGAAAATGGCCATATAATGTTTATCAAGGGATCGCGATGGCGATGTCAGAAAAGAAGTTGCCGAAAGGAAAAAGGATTAAGAATTAATAATTGGCTAACTAGTTCTAAACTACCAATACATACAATTGTCCATTTTATATACTACTGGGCCCGAGAAATGTCTTCAGTAACATTTTGTAAACGTGAACTAAATATGGGACAAAATGCTGTGGTTGATTGGAGTAATTATCTACGTGAGGTATGTGTATGGAAGCTTGAAATTAATCAAAATAAATAAATTGGTTGTCCCTGTCTTTTTGTTGAAATATATGAAAGTTTATTTGTGCATAGAAAAAATAATGCTGGGTGTATTCTGCCACAACAATGGATTTTTGGTGGAATATGTCGGGAAACTAAAGCGTGTTTTATAATCAGTGTACCAGATCGGTCGGAGAAAACATTGTTACCTATAATACAAAGATATATAAGACCAGGCTCAATAATTTTGTCAGATTGTTGGAAAGCTTACAATAATTTGTGCAGCAAGTGGGATTCAAACATAATACTGTAAACCACACGTATAATTTTGTCGATCCGGACACAGGGGCTCACACTCAACATATTGAGAGATTGTGGGGTTCTGCTAAATGGGGCAATAAAAAGCATCGAGGAACTAACAGAAATTTTCTTGAATCATATTTATTTTTTTTACTTGTATTATCTTTAAAAAAAAAAAAAAAAAAGGGAGATTACATACATAAAAATATTCTATACTATTGTATTTAGGTTTAAATGATTAAAAGTATTATAATGATAGAAGAATCATAGAAAAAAGATTATTATTATTATTAATTTTATCATTATTATTATGAAAAAGTCCCATGATAGATCATGTGAACATTAACTGTGTAACTAAATAGAATCTTAAATAAAAAATTCTATACTTAAATTAAAAAGTGGATTATTAACTTATATCATAAGAATGTACAAATAAAATAGTATGTATTGAATTACTGTACATGTTTATCAACATAAGTTAAATAGAAACCTAGTCAGTCATATGTACCTCTAGCTGTAAGTTCTAAGCTGCAACTCTTTAGATCTAAACATTTTTCTTAACAAGGTTTGATTAAATCATTTGACATTACACGCTTTTTTTGTACTAAATGTTGAATACTTCTTAATTTTAAACTTAAGGCATCAAATGTTTTGTTACAAGAGTATTTACCATTGTTTAGTTGGAGTAGTATAAGAGAGCGATTTACTAATATTTTAGTAAAAGCTTAAGTTACTTCCATACTTGTTGAGCTGTTGACACTATTTGTTGAAGTAGGTTGGTCCATCATTTTTATCTACGGTGAGTTCTTGTTTGTAGCTTGGGGGGTAAAGATACTATGTTATCATCAACCTAAAAAAAAATATTATATTAGAATATAAGGTAAAAATAAAAAGGTGGTTTTATTACTTTTGGTTGTGAAAACTTGTGTGGTGAGTATGAATTGATTTATAAAAAATTCGATCCTTCGATTTCATCAGTATGTTTTTGATATGGCCTATCGACATCATCGGTGACATCAGATAAAAAAGTCTGTTTGTTATAAATCCTTACAACTTGTATCTTCCTATATAATATAAATTTAATAATAATAATGTAAAAATATGATAAAATATTTTTATTTACCTTGAGTTTAAATTTCACCATACTAGTCAGTCAATTGCTTTGCAGCAAACAGTTTTAACTGACTCATGAAATTGTTCACGCTTTTCAGTAAATGAGATAAAATCAATTCATCATTGGCGTTATTTATATTTGAAATACTTTTTTCTGCGTTTTCAACTCATTAAAAATAAGCACATATCGATTTGAACTGTGGCTTCACCAAGGTATGTTTGTATTTGTTAGTATAATAGTCTCAAATATACACCATTTCACATGTTGCAATGTTACAAGATCCGAGCGGTTCATGTTATACGACATGAAATTTGATTTGTGTCTTCTACATCCAAAATGTTCTCATAGCAATATACCAAACTCTTTAGTAGTTTCAATTCGGTTACCAAAAAAACAGTTCATTTGTATCGTGGTACTAACATGTACGATAAAATATGGTCCATCAAAGAAAATATTCAATGTAGGAAATCAGATGAAATTGAAATATGTCTAGATAAAGAAATAATTTATACCTCGATGCTGAAATGGTCAACTGGGTCCAATCATATATGTTCATGAAATTCCGGTATGAAAAGTCGATGGTGAATACACTTTTATTGATGAGGTTCTTTAGAGACGCAGGTACAATATATTTAAATTTCTTATTACTCGCACCAATGTTGTCGGTGATTAACCCGGTCATATTATATTGTTCTTAAACACTTATTTGAAAAAAAACGAGAAAAGAAGAGTACTACCACATGACATATAAAAGAGGTTAGGTTAGGTCTGGAGAGAAACTGATTTACACGGGGACGGGTACAGTCTTCCCGATTTTGATAACGATTGATAACAATTAACATGATAAGAACCAAAAAAAGAAGCTAATGCCAACCTCCAAAATGTAAATAAAATCCCAATTCCCGTTTCGTTTTCTAGCATAAAAATTAATAAATAAATAATTGATAGTAATTTTTCGAAAAATGTATACTGAGAAATTTTGTCTTCTATTAAATAAAACCCTGTTTAGTTAACTTTTAATCAGTGAAGTTAGATTTTTATCGTATATTATTTTAATTTAATTAATTGATCATACTTCAATCATGGTTTATTCATAGATATTATAAGATCTTATAATATCTATGGGTTTATTTATACTATGTACTATAATTTATCATACATTTTAGATATTAATATTTG